AAAAAAAAAAAAAAAAAAAAAAAAGAGATAGCTCGAAAAAGTGGCATGCGGGAATGGTCAGTTGACCAAATTAATTTGATAACGCTGTTTATGCTTGGTAACGCAACGGATGCGAAATTATTTAATTTAAAAAAAGAAGAAAAAAATGGGAAGGGGGTCCACGCAGTGGATAAACAGAATGGGCGTATAAAACAACATCACGAGGAAAAATCTGGCACAATGGTATTGCGATCCCTACCCAGGGAAGACAAACCAAGCGGAGAAAAATTCCACGTCATAACTTCCCCCCACCTGTCCCTCAATAAGAAGATAAAAAAACTTCCGAGTTGGAATTCTCCATGCAAATATTTACATACTCATTGACCACTTCAAAATTTACTTCGTCCAACTGAATGACGCCCCGCGTCTCCACTATTTTTAGGTCTTCCGACACGGTGCCTTTAATTCCTACGTACTTGGTGTATGCGTTGATGAGTTTGTCTTTGATGACGCATTCGACGTAGTTGCCTGTGTGGTAAAAAGGGTCGAAACAGGGGTGTGCCTCCGTCCAAATGGGTGCGTAGCGATCATAGCGGCGGTAGCGGCATGGATCGTAGCGGCACACCTGCTTCCCCCCTGTAGTCGTCTTACCATTCACCGACTTAAGACTAATCAAGTTATCCTGCCTGCTCACAATCTCCCCAATGAAAAAAACGTCTTCGTTTATAAAGTCGGGCAGGTACTTCTCAGAAATGAGCTTCCCCATTTTGTGCTGATTCAACACTTTATTATCATTGTCTTGGTCATACTTATCATACACCTCGAAGTTTTTCTCATCGTAAGGGCCGTCATCATGGTTGGTCTGGTCCAGGTTATCTATGTCGCTCATCATCATGGCGGAGATGGGCGGCGCGTCAAGGAATGGGGGTTGGGCCTGCGTTCCTGTGTTTTTCCCTGCAAGTCTGCTGGTTGGTGAAGCGGCAAAGTGTGAGGTCGCGACGTGTCCGTAGCGATGTGTAAGCAGCGATGTGTCAGTGGTGAACGGGTGCGCCGAAGCGAAACAGAAGGAAGCTTGCCCCCCCTCTTTATGTACCGCAAACACGAAGAGGATAAATCCCTTTATTCTTTTTTGCCACTTTCGCTCACTGTTCGGCGAGCCCGATGGTTCTCCTCCTTCTCCGTTCAATTTAGCGCTAAGTGCCTCTTTGATTATATGTGTTATTTTTTTCTCGCAGAGTTATTGGGTCTTTCCCTTTGGATGTAAAAAAAAAACTTAAGGAGTGAAGAGACGCATGATGTTTTTGTGAGGCCTCTTTTCATTTTCCAATTTGAAAACGTAACGCAGCATTTGAGAGAAGGCGGGAAAACAAAGGGGGAATTTTTTTTTTTTTTTTTTTTTTTTTTTTTTTGGTGTGCTGAGGAATAAAGTAGGTGTATATGACACCAACGTCGAGGAATAAAAGAGGTGCGCTCAGGGCATTTTTCGTTTCCCCTTTGGCGCAGCTTGTAATTGTTTTTTCCCCTCTTTGGTGCCTTCTTCACGTTTTTTTTTTTTTACCTTTCTTTTTACTGCTTATTGTCCTTTACTTTGCACACTTTCCCTCGCTTCTGTTCCGCGTCGCCGCTTCACCAATACACCACTTCAAGACACTGGCGACCACTTCGCCCCCTCGGCGGCTTCACAAAAATGCCTTGGGCTGCAAAACGTCACGCCCACACATTCGCCATGACGTTTGTGAATGAGCACACCTTGACGTAGGACCCCCTTGTGCGCGTTCATCGTGCTCTCCGCTTCTGTTCCGCTTCTCCGTGCCTGGGTGTGAGAGCCTGCCTCGTTGGTTGCGCTTTCAGGGAGGAGGGGCCCAACGGTAGCCCAAAGTGAGCACCTTCCGAGTGAGTATTCCCCGAGTGTTCCCCCTCTCCCCCCCCCTGAACGGACAAAGACAAAACTTGGGGTATCCCTCCCCTAAATGCGCGCAGTTCAATGGATACAGAAGAAATCGTGTTCGTCCACGTAACCCTCAAGTTTGTAATTTTTAAGAGTATTGAACAAAATGAAAACAGCCGCTGCGACAACTTCATTATCAATTTGGCGGAGGCCAATGACATCGAGGCAGTCAACAAGTCCAAGCAGTACTTTATTCAAAAGTTTCACCAAATATTAAACAAGAAAAAAAAAAATGAATACGAATGTGTGCTCAATGGAACAATAACTGAAGTTGCAACATTTCTCTCCCAGCACATGGAACTGTACATACAGATTAGCAAAGTGAAGTATGAGACAGGTGAGCAGAGTGATGGGGGTGGCCAGGCAAGGGGGGATACGGACGGGGTAAACAGGCACGAGACAGACGCAGACGGGAAGCACCACCCAACACACGACGATCACAAGGCAGAACCAAACGCACGCACCAGCGCTGGGCGGAACAAAATACACTTACTCAACAGCGTAGACCTAGTAGAGGACGACATTAAATTTGAAAACGGGCAAATTTACTTCAAGTGTTTATTTAAAGATCTGCTAAGTGACGACTTCGAGTTTATCCAGCAGAGGAAGTATGAAAATATTAGTAACTTTTACGTGAGCAATGATTTTATATTTTCCATTTCGGTTAAGTTTGAGGAGTGCATGGTGGGCAGGAGGGACTTGGAGAGGAGAGACAAACGGGGCTGCCATTATGAGCAAGACGACTTGTATTACGACCATTACGATAACCAGTACCCCTGTCGCACCCTGGATAAACGCGCACAGAAGTATTGGCACCTTGTGAACCTCTGTCACATGACCAATTTATTCTACCTGCACATCAACTTTGATTCATATGAACAGAATTTCTTTCATCACAATTGTGTAGAGGTTACTGTGGGGGACATGCTCCAAAGTCTTTCACCCAAGGACACCCAAGATGGTACCACCAGTGGGGCAAAGGGAAATGAATCTGTTTTCGTTTCAGCGGGCGGGGGACACATCGATGGAATAAATGACAACCACCCCCATACTGATGGCAAATCTCCAATGGGGTGCCACTTTTCATTGATCCTACTCGATCGAGTGGAAGAGCTATATGATTACTTCCGCCTCAATGACATACACATTATTTTTAACAAAATGCAATTGGAGGTCGAAAAGAAAGGAGCTTTTTTTTCCCATCATAACAAATGTGGTGACTTGTGGATTCGTTACAGGGATATGGAACGGATGACATGCCAATTGAGAACACTTGGTGGGTCTGTCCCTTCGTTAAATTTTCAAGCCACCATCATATCTGTTTGTTTGCGTCCTCGTGGGGGAGAAGATGGGGACAGGTTTATCAGTTCTTTGCGGTGGAGAGGGAGCGGCGATGGTTTTGGAAGCAGAGACAGCAGTGGAGGTGGCCACACAAGCGGGAGTAGCATATCGGCTCACCCGTTTTACAAGAATGTGTACCCCCACCGGAGCAGCAGCAACTCCCCCAGTTGGGATCCTCGAGTTCATACGCACAAAAAAGAGTTGGGCTCCCCCAAGGATCACTTCCTCAAGTGGAACTTGTTCCTCTCCGTGGACCGCTGCCACATCCTGGAGCTGAGTAACATTTACGCAGAAAAGAGGAAGACTCGACAGAGCGACTTTTTTGTGAAGATCGAGTCGGGTCTCTGTGAGGGATGCTTCGTATCTCCGTTCTACCCCTTCGAGGAGAGCCGGCAGGTAGGTGTGGCGCGTCTGCGCGAGAGAGCAGCTACTGCGAAGTGGCTTCGTAGTCCACTGCCCTGCTCACACGTAATCATCACATACCACCTTACCCCCCTCAGATTGAACTGAAGAATTGCCATGTGAGTCACGATTTCCAGCTGAAGGGTGGAGACCCCTGCGACAAACTCGAAGGAGCAGTGGTGCACTTCCATCTGGCTCTGCGCGAGGAGCATACAGAGGGAGAGGGTCTACAAAGTAACCCTAACGAAAATGTTAGCCGCGGAATTAACATCGGAGTAGGGGAACTTGCTCTTAAAAGTGTCTCCAAGGAATTAAAGACCACACTGATGAAGGAGGGAGGAGTACCTCCCCAGAGGGATTACTACCAATTTGATTTTTGTGTACCTCTTTATTTACACGTTTTTAAAGAAAAGTATTTAACGTCAGAGTTGGGTGTGCAGGTGTTTTTGAGCGCAAAACAGGGGGGAGGGATCGTGAACGAAGTTGGAGCAAAGATTGGATCCCCGCAAGAGGAAAAAATAATACTCACAGCAGACGAGAGTGGAGATCATCTGGTTAAGCGTTCCTCAAAGAATGATAATAGCATCCCGAACAACATTTATGAATTTAAGTTGTGGAAAGAAGAGGAGGAAAAGAAAATGACGGAGATGCTTAAAAGGAGAGAACAAAATATGATGAAAAAACTGATAAAGAAATATGAAGCCATGGAAAGGGAAAGGAAAAATGAAATTGAAAAAAAAAAAAACGAATTAAAAGAAATTGTAATTAAAGTTAAAGAAGAACAAATAAATGTAAAAAAAAATGAAAACCTTGTCAAATTAAAAGACAAACAATTAAATGACGACATATATGTCTTGGAAAAAAAATTAAAAAAAATTAAACATGCTTATGAAAAATCGTTGAACTATTTTAAGCAAAAATTAAGAAAGACCCATTTAGGGGAAAGTCTCGTAAAAGAAAATGATCAACTGCTTGCTAGTTACAAAACTGTTTTAACAAAGGTAAAGAAATTAAGCAAAGAAAATGATGAGATGAAATCCATTTTGGGCAAGTACAACAGTAAGGATAATGCCATTATCAGCAACACTTACTTTGAGGAGTTGAAGGACGAATTGAAACGGCTTAAATCATTTCACCGACAAACGGTTCAGTCACGCGGTTGGGGAGGATACACACACGAGGGGGAGGAGGCACAACAGGGGGAAGTCACACACAATAACAGCTACATAAGAACAGTGCGGAAAAATAGAACACGAATTATCCAACTGGTGGATAATTTCGTGCCACAGATTGAACAGATTTACGACTTGACGAATGACGACTTGCTGGAGGAAAAAGTCCGCTCCATTTTGAGGGACGTCCAGGAGGTCAAGCTGATTTTGCGGGCCGAGGCGAAGGAGTTGGACCGTACCTCCCCCGGGCAATGGCTGGGAGACTCGTCAGATGGCTTGGCAGGCCAGTCAGCAGATCGGATAGAAGACCGCGTAGTGGGTCAGTTCTCCAACCAGTACATGGACGTATACGCAGTAGAATTGCCGGATGAGCCTCTGGCCATCCGCACCGACCCATCGCGAACACTCAGTAGGAACCCACCAGGGAAGGCACCCATACTGGGAAGGCACGCCAGTTTGGCTAACCATCCCAAGGGGAAGAAGCCACCCCCCCAGAGGAACCTTCTGAAGGGCAAGGGGGTGACGAGCAACATCTCCAAAGGGGTAGGTGCTCACTTCAGGGAGGCACCCCCTCACCCCAAGCTCCTAAGTGAGAAGCGTGGACGGGCCCCCACAAAGGATTCCGCCCCAACCCCACAAATGGACGGATTTAGAAAAAGGGACAAGCCAAACGAAAATGCGCACATGATTGAAAATTTAAAAAGAGAAATAAAGCGACTCATTGAAACTGGAATATATAATGAAGACGATACGATTATTAAAAATATGAAGAAGAAGTTAAACGCGCTGCTTTGAAGGGGAGCATGTGGGCAGGTGCTGGAGGACGTCCACACCTGATGCCTCTTTTCCGCAGCACTTTTCACACGATGGGATTATCCAAGTGGACACATGAAGGCTAATCGGAAGCACCGCATATTGTGTAGTTATTCATTACTGACTCTCACCCCATTTTAATGACCGCTCCGCACACGATATATTTGGGCACTCCCTTTTAGGTGTCCTTCGCACATTTGCAAAAAGGGGGAAAAAAAAAAAACGAAGAGGCATAACATTCCCCATTAACCATTTTTTGTTGCATGCCCAACCTTGGGCGAGGGGGGGACGAGTAGGTTATTTTTTTTGTTCTCTCCCCCGCGAGCTACTCCAAGGGAAACGTTAGGCAATTTTTTTTTTTTTTTTTTCCTCCAAATGGGAAAAAAGAGGGCCATCCTTTTAGGTGCCTTCTCAAATTGGCTCACTAGCACGTGTACGTGCACAGAAATGTATCAACGCATATACATTTCCCATCAACATGAGAGCCTGCCCCTACACGTATGGTTCTTCCAGCGAACGTCCTTGTAGTTTTTAATTTGTTGTGTTGGGGTCCCCGCCCCCCCCTTTTTTTTTTTTTGTTACCTCAAAATTTGTTTGGAGACTCGCAAAAAGAATTGGCAAAATAATTTTTTTTTTTTTATGTTGTGGTGTTATTAATTCATACGTTGCGCCTCCCTTTTGCGCGCAACCAATTTGGGGGTGAGAAGCATCTCACAAGTGTGTGGCCGCAGCCAAGGTGCAGCCTGGCCGTAACGGGAGCCATCGCGCTGACCGCTCACTGGTGCGAAGTTTAAATAGGGTCTCCATCGAGTGGGTGCCAGGGGAATCAACTTATAATGTAAACCCACGCCCCAGACCATGTGCAGAACCGTACGAAAGTCGCCCCTCCCGCTTATGTGTACCGTCTGTACAAACCACTATAAATAACGCGCTGATTTGTGCTCTCAAATGATGATGGCACTGGGTGGTAGGGACGGGCCAGACAGGCCAGACGAGTCCGTCCACAGGGATTACCCCACCGCGGATGGTCTTCACCATGGCGCTGATATGAACCCCGCTGATGTGAACGATAACTACGACGTGTGTGATGACAGCGAGGGTTATGAAGACTACAAAGGAATCAGCTACGGCATGCTTTTGAAAAAAGTGGTGCGGAGGTCCATAAATGACTGGAGTCTCTTTTGTGATCGAGTGGATAACGACAATGGAGGCAATTGTGATTATCTTAGAAGTGCCCTCATTCAGTACTGCAGGCACATGAGGGAGTGCTTCCTAAAGCTCCTGGAGCTAAATACATTCAGAAGAAACTATAAAGACATTAATGATATAATTAAACTGATTTTAGAATATAAAGAAAATAACAGAGAACTGAAAACCAAGTACCAGTATGAATTATATTTGTGCAAAGTAAGAATAATGGACCTCCAAATTAACGAAAGTAATATCCTTTGTGCTATGGATTTATTGTCCACAGGCAAGTACACGAGGTTCCCTCTTCTCTTCAAGGAGATCTTAACCAACCCAACAGATTCTTTCATTCCAAATTTAGATGTGAATCAAATAAACATATTGAAAAAAAGAATCGTGGATGAATTTTTAATTAATTATTATTCTTCCAGGATACCTAAGGATAAAGTAAATTTTATATTTGCAGACGGGTTCATAGAGTTAGATGTGGTTAACGAAGTAAAGGTTTCTCTTATCACGGACTTTGTTACATGGAGTATTGTTAAGGCAGACATTTCCTTTCTACGCCACATGAATTTGCACGCGTCCCATAATTTGAACCTCATCAGTTTGGTCACCTATGGCGTTGTGCAGAAAATGAGCGAACTGGCTGGAGCGCAGCAGATGAGAGGAGTCGCCTCCTCAGAGCAGATGCGTGAGGGGGATACCCCCTCCGAACATAGTGACAGGGAGAGTTCCCACAACGACGAGTTTTTGCTAAGCATAGAAGGAAGAACCCATCACAACGACAAACAAGCACGCGTGGACGAAATGCGGCATGGCCGTATGAACCCCATCGAGCAGCACTACCACAGAGAAAGAGAAAAAAGGACACAAGCAGAGGAAACACTACCGCTGGCAGATGTGCTCTACGAAATATACAAAATCAGTCACTTCTATTGTAGTGTACAAATAATGGAATTTTTTAAAGGCTGTATAAATCAGTATAATACATTTAACTACGCAGCGAAGAAAGTTTTTATTTATAAATATTTTTCAAATAGGACAGTAGAGATGACTCCCTCCTGTTACAACTACAGTCTGAGTGATAAAGATGCATCTCTACACCTAGACATTCATTTGTATGAGTGCGAACTGAGTAAGGGAATGTACGAGTGGTTTGAAAAAATCCCCCTACTTGACCAATATACCAAAAAAAAAATGATTCTTAAATTTGTCTTAAATAATGAAACTGGGAACATAAATGTATTTTTGTGGCCATTTAGTTTTTTTAAAAAAAGGAAAAAGGAAAATTTCCGCACGGATGAAATTTTGACCTTTTATGAGTTGCTCTACTGTGATATATTACAGAGCAGGATGAAGAAGCTGTTTAAGTTTGACCCAGCTGATATTCACTTAGAGAGTTGGTTCACTCGAGTGGCCAATTGCGTCACGCGTTTTTTGTTTTCCATTTTGAAGGCATTTAGTTCAGTCGGGGGGGAAGTACTCCACGGCTTAGGTAGCATGGATCACACCTGGAGCAGCGAGACCTCCTTCCAAAACAAAGCAATTGGTGTGCATGAGTTGATACAAGATTATTTCTTCCATTTGGGTTACATACGTGGGGAGCTGCGTTGTGAGGACGAGGGGGTGGACAGCCTAACGGGGCGCCTCACCCCACAGGGGGGCGAAAACTACGCGCAGCGATGTGAAAACAATGCGCAGCGAAGCGAAAACGGTGTAGGGGAAGACGCACAAGTACGCATGACGACCCTACAAAACCGCATCAAAACAGTCCTCATGAGGAAGAAAAATGGAGACTTTTGCCTTCTAAGGTACACATTCTACGAACAGAAAATCGACCTCTTCTTAAGTAAGCAAAGTGAAAAGTTCACCTTCATGTGTCATTGGAAAAGCAAAACGTTTGTAGACATGATCAGTCTCCACTACGACCTTAAGCTGGTCATATACGTGGTGTACCTACTGAAGAGATTCTCCTTATATGTGTACATGTACCACGAGTTGCAAGAAAGATTTCTCCAAGTGAAGGCAGGAAAGGTCTTCAACTACGACCTAGACGAGGAGCAATTTTGTCCTAATTTTTTTGTACACAAATTGAAACTTCATGACCTTTTAAAAAAATACAACTACTCATCAAACATTGTGTTGACAAAATTCCTTCAGAGTTTTTTTTCCTTTATCGATTTTTATTTTTATCTTCCGTGTGGTGAGGAGGTGGAGGGGGCATACGGGTCAACCCATGGGAGGGGAGCATTTGAGCAGGCTCTCCGGAAATTGATCCCTGGGGGGGGGAGAGTTCACAAGTCACGCGATTGGTCTCACTCGAAGGGGAGTGTTCACATAGGAGGAAGCACACCCAACGAGTTAAATCGCTTTGGCAGTTTGGAATGGATTAATCTTGGAGAGTCCCGTTTTAGCAGCACCGCCCCCCGGCGGCAATCATGGGGTAGTGGATATGAGGAGACCGCCCACGAGGGGACGAGGGCAGCCCCACACAAAGACCCCTTCCGGCAGAATTTCTTCTCAGTACTATACTTCACCATCTACACATATAACCACACACCCCTGTTGCTAATCCTGCTGATCGAAAAGGATTGCATACACAAAACGTATATTGTTATATGTGGAAGTAACACAGTAGCTTCTGGGACAGACGCTGTACTAGGCGAACAAGGGAAGAACAAGAAGAGACACTTCTTTACCATTCCACTAATACATAGGAGCTACCCCATTGTACATAACCTAGAAGATTATCTGAACGGTCTACGAGATCTGGTCAACCGATTTTCAAATTTATTTTCCACGTTGGAGAAACTGCTACAGATGAACGCGCGATGTCCCGTTTTTTGTAGTCGATTTTGCGTAGCCCCGTACAAGGGTGGCGCATCGAGATTGGGTACAGGGGACACACGTCAGGACAGTGAGCTCACGCTTAAACTCGCCTCCGACCAGATGTACGCCCAACTGAGGGAAGAGGAGAAAAAGGGTTTCCTCGACCTTCAATACTTCGTAAGTAAGAACCAGTCCAGGCGGTTTGCTCGCAGCGCAAGCGGTGACGTCGCTGCAGACGTTGCGAACCTGAGCGAAGCGAACGCAGAAGATCTCGCCAAGGAGAAATACCCAGTGGACTACATCAGCAACTACTTGCTCCACTTGGAATGCGAGCTGGACGAGGAGCACTACTTGAACAAGGAATTTGTGAACAACAATGAAGAAAGCGAGTACCCCATTCGGATCAAGGTGAACACCTATGGGTCCTTTTTTTTTGAAGTCCCCGTTCGGCAGAAAAAACTCCTTAAGATAAGGGACTTGGATTTGAACAGAAGCAGAGAGGAGGTTTCTTTTTTGTGCTCCAACGTAGCGATAAATGTGAAGGTAGAGCGGCTTGGAGAGCAAGGGGCGGACGCGACCTCTGACGACTGGGTGCAAATGAAAACAATGTACCTACTACTCAAGGACGACTGTTCTTCAACGAACATTCTTCACCTCTTTTCAGTCATGAGCAAAATATTTTCCGTGTGGAATTTCTTCCAGGAATTGTACTATCTTGAACAAATCATGTCCCCTGATATTTCCATCCGCAGCTGCCATTTGGCTAATATCATTGTTGATTATAACTGTGGTGTTAACAAACAGATTGCTTGTTCTGTCGTGTTAGACGTTCTTAGTGGTGGCGATATAACATCAGGACAGCTCGACAATCCACCTGGGGGATCGTTTCTCATAGGTGCATATAATAGCAGAGAGCATTTTTCAAAAGGACTAGGGGAAGGAGACCCAGACAACATAACGTCCAAAGACGGGATAAAACAAATGAGCGATGAAGAAGACGCATTGGAAAAATTACTTTTCTTCAACATCGCCTTTAACTCCCCCTTTGAATGTATTAATAAATTATTTTCTCGAGAAAAAAAAAAGCTCTTCTTGTACTTGAAAAAAAAAAAAAGTATTTTCAGCTTGCTCAGATTTATTTTCTTAACCTTTGAATTTCATTATAACTTTTATACTCTAATTAACAGGACAAGTGAGCATTTGAGGAAGATCCCTTTTTTGCATCCAGTAGACCTCTTGCACGATGTTGAATTTGAGTATGTGAACCTCATGACTGTTATGTTAACATTAAAATGTTTTAGTAACGACAAGGGGGTGCTGTCCTTTTATTTGATTTTGCACCCTGAGCATTTCTCCAAAGTTGTGATCATCCCGCATTACAGGGGTACCTCCTTGGGTACACGATATCAGAGGAGGGAAGTGTCCATTAAAAATTTCTTCAAAAGGGGGAAGCGCCAGGGGGGACTTTCTCCTCGATGGGGTGATGAAGAAAAGGATGTGAATGAGGAGAGAGCGGGGGTTATACAGCCACGACAAGGGTCTGCAAAAAATATTTCCAGGATGAGCGTGTCGTTTCCTCATTTGGTAAATGAGAAGGGTAACCAGTGGGGAGGTCAATATGGAGTCTCACCCAAGAAGAGATCATGGGATTACTCCAACCAACACGACACAACGATAGCGGACGCAAGTCTGGCCCAAAGCGGAGAACCGCTCAACACACAGCAAAGCGGCATACTCATTGACCACCTAGATGAGGAAGACCTATTCGTTTATCTCTTTTCCCATTTTTGCGACATTTTAAATTTAAAGAAAGTTCACCAGTCTACCATCTACACTCCGGGTGGAGATGTGCAAAGTGGTCATGTACATTCACCACAAGAGAGCAGCAGTCACTCACTGGACGGAACAGAACATGTCTCATTTGGAGATAGCGCGAACGAGAACGATCTCAAAATTTTCGAAGAGTACGACGTGTTTATATTAAATATAAAATATTTGTTTAAAATGAAAAACCAAATTGTCCTGTCACAGGTTTTTTTCTTCCCTCCATTTTTTCTGTACACCACCCTCTACCCTTTTGTGGAATTTTTGAAGACACTAAAATGTTGGTTTGTCTTGTTGGATCAACTGAGACTTCACCATTCCGATATTACCTTGATGTGGTCCGAGATAGGCGACGTTTTTCAGCACGTAACTGCGGTTAGGAAAAGGTGCGCTTCGCCGATCCCCCCCGAGGGTCACACACAAGGTCCCCGCCAGGAGGACGAAATAGTTGTGCACTTCGTGTGGTTCCTCTACAGCACCAAAGATTTGTACATCGACATGGCGTCCCTTGGTGAGGGAAAAAGGTACAAGAGGAGTTATGCGGCCCTTTTGGGTGACCCCAAGGAGGTGAATCAGGAGGATTTGTTTGAGAGGGATGACGGAAACAGCGCTTATGGAAATCGAGGTGAGCATAAAAAGGTAAAGAGGCCAGAGGGGGATGGGCAGCACAGCACGACAGATCATTTGTGGTGGGACAACCACACAATTAGTCAATCCAAATCGGATGAAATACAAAACGTGAAATGGGAAATCGGAGGAGACAATTTTGTAGCAAAAAAATGGACACACACAACGAATTATCTGAGCACCCCCTTTCACATGAACCCAACAAACACAGACAAATTAAAAAATATGATCAACGCATATTCTCACATGAACGATGATATTTTTTTAAAAAAAAAAACTCAGAAAATATGGTTGGGGGAGAATTTTATCCAGAGAGCTTATGCCCTGCGGATTTTGGAGTCCAAAAATGAGGACCCCCCATATAAAGAAGGGACAGGATGGAATCCTTTAACGGAGGAAGGAAAGAATGATAATGTTGGGAACCATAACTGGTATGACATACTTATGAAGATGAACCCATACAAAGAAACGACCAATCTAAAGGAACCACAAAACGATTTTGAAAATATGTTTTTTTTTAATGAAGAAAAAATGCTAATGGGAGACATGAAGAATGCGAAAAATTCTTCCTCCTCAGCAGAAAACATATACAAAGGGGATATGCATTACTGGACCAATTCAGTGTGCATATATTTTGAAAATGTGGGGGAGACTGTGGATGAGGAGGATTGCTGGTTTTATCGTAGTAGGGCAAAGGTGCCCACACGGGAAGGGCAAGTAGGTAACCACGGTGAGGTGAAAAATCAAACGAGGAAATTTATCCTGGAGGAACAAAACGTACTGAAAGAAAACTCCAAAATTAATTCAGCCTTGAATATAATTTACAACTATGCTAGAATATGGCTCCTCAAAATGAATCACTCCAGCGTTATTTCGTTTTTTCGCATCATGATTGAGACATTGGTTGATAAAAAGAATATATGTGAGTTGTCTTCTCTCTTGTTTAACTCAGTTTTGTCTTATCGAGAGCATATAACCTTTTGGATGCTTCCAACCAGAGAAGGTGTATCAATGCCATTCGTTGAAATGGAGTTTGTAGCTGATGGGATCCATGACCACCAGGTTACTTCGGTGGGTGAAAAAAAAGAGACTTCCATTTTGCACAATAAATGGATTGAACTGGTTGTTCCCGTGGAAGAAGCGGTGTATGATGGTTATCTCATGGAGGGAGAAAACACTAACAGAGGGGTTATGGCTAACCTGGATGGTGGGCAGACCCATACAGGTGGCGATTTGCCTACTCCCAGCGGAGGGAACCAAATTATCACCACGGGAGGTGATGACGGCAAGAGAGGGAAGTGGCATCCCACCCCTGCAACAGAAAAAACGATTAAGATAAAGTACAAAATGTGGAGATACATGCCATCCCCTTTTAAAAAAAAAAAGTTCGCACAGGAGGTTAAAGACATTATGGTGGGAACCAACGAAAGCGTGACGCTCACGTTTAAAATATCATCAGAGCTGCCAATTAAAAACTTAAAGGAGGTGCACATAAATGACGAACCGTTCGTGAAATTTCTGGTGAGGCACAAAATCGACTTAAATGTTGCTCACCAGAGGGTCATGACCATTTTGCAGAAATACAACCTGATGGCAAACTACTCATTCGTTGCCACGCAGACCGTCCTCCACAGCAGCACCTTCGAACTGTTGCTCAAGGGGGGGAACAACGACAGCGGGTGAGAGGAAAGGCGTGCTGGCGTCTGCCATTCGGAAGAGAAACATCTTCCTTCCACCCCCAGTTACGTTACCGTTGCCGTTGCCCTTACCGGTTCCGTTACTTTGTTATTTTATTATTATTTTTTTTTTTTGACGTCCCCCTTCTCGTGCCACAAACCATAGGTTTTGTGAATTCCGCAAGGCATTTTTTCCTTAACGTGCGGGTGACCCTGTACAAATGAATTTTGCGTTTTACATGCATGCCACAGCGTGGGGAAAATAATTAAAAAAAAAAAAAATCCACGCACGCGTATGTTAGCAACTGTGCACGTAGCAACCATGTGCGCGGCTAGCATGCATACGGTTTACCTATATAACGCTTATGTTGCACACCTGAGCAAATGTTTGTGACTACCGCTTCGAACACCTCCCTCCCCCCACGATCAATGCAGTTCCCTCAAATGTTAAGGGAAACAACATGAAGAAGAACAGTAAGGTGGCGCATTTGGTTTGCCTGCTCGGCGGCTTCCCACTGTACGAAGCCTTCTCGAATGAAAAGTCGATGCAGGGTCTGCAAAACGATAATGGTAGTGTCCATGCGCAGTTACGAAAAAAAAGCAAAGTGGTCCATTTGGAATGTACAAACATAAATAGGAAAAGAGAACCGTGGGGGATTAAAATATTGTCTCCTCATAAAAATACGGCCATAGTTTCGAATGAAGGGAAAACAAAAAGTGAGTTAAGGGCAAATGTAATAAAGGGAGTAAACAAAATATGTGGCGAACGAATTACTCGAAGGAAATGGGAACCCCTGTGGAGGTACAACTGCCATTGGAGGCTCCAACTGGCCGAGTGTGAAAGGGTCAATTGCAACGGTGAGGAAATAGGAGGACGAATTTTTGCGCACAAAACACACTGTGAAAATGGTAAGGGAAGCAAATTTCAATCTAGGGAAGATATCCAGCAGGGGATTCATGTCGAAATGAAGAGGACAGATCAATACAGTGATGAAGAATACGTCCAAATGAGGAGTGACGAAGGTGAACCCTGCAGCGACACCTCCAGTGAAAGCGACACGCAAGAAGAGTTAACAGAAGACGTAATTAACTTCATCGAAAGTATAATTAAAAAACACAAAATAGTTTTATTCATGAAGGGTACAGCTTTAAACCCATTTTGTAAATATAGCAAACAAGCAATACACATTTTGAAGCTAAACAAAGTGAAAGAAATTAGGACTGTTAATATTTTGGATGATGAAAAGTTGAGGAGATCTTTAAAAATTTACTCTGAGTGGCCCACCTTCCCGCAGTTGTACGTAAATGGGAAATTCGTCGGGGGCATAGACAAATTGCAGGAGTTACATGATGGGAAGAAGCTAAAAGGCGTCTTGGAGGATGTGTAGCAGTGTGTGGTGTATGCTAGGTCAATGCCCCATGGGAGGAAGTGAACAACGAGGGGCTACACTTGGCACAAACACACAGGTTTGCGTCGCCATGTGTGTGCCTGTTGTCACATACATTGTATATCCCAGGGGAAAAATCTCCCTCAATCCCCTTCCCCTATGGGCGTTATCTAAAACAAAGGTGTTTCAAACAGGTTTGCAGTTGAACGTGAAAAAATAAGACGCACTTTGGTGTGCGCGCAAAAGAAAAGTTAAGTAAAGAATGAAAGGCACAAATTGGAAGGGGAGACTCTCATCTGAGATAGGAAAAAGCCTCCCCGATGGGCTAACCCATCGAGTGATATGTAGCATGAAATGAAAAAATGTACAAAGAGGAGGTAACATTTATAGACACATACACTACGTGAAGGGGGGAGGGCACTTAAATGGGCAGTCCACACGCAAGATCTATTTGTATGTGTGTGCGTTAGTGTACAAATTTGGGTACCATACAGCGCACATTTTGCCTGAACAAACAGGCAAAAAAAAAAAGGATTTTTTTTGTTTTTTAGCTAGCAGCTGCAAACAACATGAACAGTTCAGGCAAAACGCTAAAGAAAAGATAAAAAAAAATGGTCACTCTTTTAACACTATATTGAATAGTGGATCCTACAGAAAAATGCTGCAAAACGAGTGAAAGCTTCATAGAATGATGGGCAAAGAGGTCAATATATAAGGTTGAAGAAGTCGTACGGGAAAAGCTTCCAAATTATATGATCCTTTTTGGGAATGTAAAAATGAAAAAAGGAATTGTACTGTTCGAAAAATTGCGACAAATATTCGCTGTAAATCATGTTCTCTCCATACATCAAACTGGACTCGGGAACGTAAGCAAAGTTGAAGTGGTCATCATGCAATGGCTGTTCTTCGTTCACGTTGAGCCGTACGTTTTCCCACGCCAGGTCAGCAGTTGCATGTTTAGCCTGTCTTGCGTGTGATGTTTCTGTACGTTTGTTAGGATGGTCCGTGTAAGCTGAACGGTCATGCAAAATTGTGCCTCCTTTTTTCCCGTCTTTATTAACCAGAAGGAGGTAATGCACAGAGTTTTGAACTTCGGTTGGGTACTCTAAAAAGAAATGATATTTCCACTCTTCTGGCGCGTAGCACATGTAATCCCAGCTGACCACCACTGCTTCGTAATTCCAGTATCGATGCCTCACAATGTTGCCAATATGAAAAATGGGGGTTCCTTTGTACACTCTTTTGCGTATATAATTTCCTAACCCAAAGTCATATTTTACGCCGAACTCCATTTTAGTGTTCTTGGGCACGGATTCGAGTGTGTGCATGTTTTTTTTCTGCAGCATTTTTTTTTTTTTTTCCTGAAACTGGTGCAGGTATAGCTTGTCTGCTTCACTGAGGTAGGGATCGTCTAGCGCGGATTCTCCCTCGCCGAGGCTGGCGGAGGCACTACTTCGTCCGCTTCTTCCTTTCGAGCGACCCACCCTCTGGGCGCTCGCTGCGAACACATTTCTAAAACACCGTATGACTTCGTTCTGCGATTTCAAGGACGTGTGCAGGGTCGGGTGGGCGCAAAGAATGGGAGACGACACATGCACGTAGTAGTGGCACTCCGTGGTCTGGAATATGTTTACTATGCTTGTCTGCGTCTCGTTCTGGTAATGCAACGAGCAATCGAAGTAGATGGTCGTTATGTAATCGTGTACATCACCAAGAGTGTCTGTGCACCGTTCTCCCTTCAAATCAACCGCTAAAGATTTGTAGAAGTTTTCGTTTCCGTATTTTAAAATTTCCACTGGCCTGTCTATCATGTATGTGCTTACGTATGGAATTCGGTCCGTGGGAAAAGAGAAGTAGGGAGGGGGGGTGGTTGTCTCGTTCAGGGATGTAATTGTGGCTTTGAAGGTCGCTAGGAGCGGGTGGGCATTGTGGCCACGTCCATCAGCACTACCGCCGCTACGGCCGCTACTACTACTACTACTACTACCGCTGCTACTTCCAATATGACCACCATTCTGAGTGTACTCCGACGGGGAGGCAGAAAAAGGCGACGACGACGAAAGGGCATTCGCTGAGGTGGACGCCAAAATGGATGCGGCAGAGATATGGTCCGCAGAAGGGGGATAACCCTGCAGGGGGAAATACCCCCCAGACAAGACAGACGTATGATCAATGTCGTCCTGCCCCGTAATTGATATAACAGCCGATTGAGTAATTGCCCCCTTTTGTGTCTTCAGATAATTCTCTGCATCTTTACGCAGCCTATAATTCATTTTGAGAACAGGAAACGCATCATACATTTTTTCGAAAAAAGGTTTTCCTTCATTTGTGGAGCGATCAGAAGCTCCAAGCAAAGTAAGGGGGTATTTTATTCTATCAAATTGATCCTTCTCATATCGAATGACACTGTTGGGTAAGCAGACTTCGTAAATATATTCGTCATGCTTATTGAACTGGAAGCACTTGTTCATTAGTCCTTTTAGCAATAAATGATTTGGTGGGTTTACCTTGTCTGTGTAATCACAGAACATGTAGGCACTTAGAGTTACTCGGTAGAGGTGTGTTACCTTTGGAAAAAATGCATTCAACATTTTATTTAGCTTATCCTTTAATGCTCTGTAGTAATTCTCATTGTATTTGTACATGGAACATGTTTTAAAAAAATAAGGCTGGTTGTTTGTCCATCTGTTCAGAATAATTTTGTACATTTTGGTCAAATTCGTCTGAACATGTTCATATATTTGGAAAATCAAGGGGAAATAATTTCGATGCAATTTTTCGAAGCTATTAACTCGTAAATTATTGTTCCCACATATGAAAAGGACTTCGAAGAAATACGTCCCATCGCTGTAGTACTGAACTACGGTGTTGTTAGCGAAGAGTAGGTCTTTGTCATTCTGGTAACTACAAATGCATGTGTGTTTTTCATTTTTACTTGGGTTTTTTTTCTGATCATCATACCTTTTCGAAACAAATGATATGGATCTGTTCAGGCAGATTTTCAGTTCATTCTCACTGGACGGTGTAAACGCATCAATGCATTCATTTTTTATGGTTAGCATTTTCCCCTTTATCATATGATTTTTTAGTATGACTTGTTCATTCACGTTTTCATAAGTTCTGTTTTTATGATACACATTGAATTTGTGTTTGTAAAAAATGTAGTCGTACATTTTTTGGAAATTACACTGTATGGCTAGGCGTCTGTTTTTCTTTTGTTGAGCTGTGCTGATTTTGTTAAAGCTGTGCTTCTTTGGAGACCCCATCCTTCCTGTGTGGTCTCTCTTTATTGCTTCTTCTGCTGCTGCTCCTCCTTCTTTGCGGGTGGTTTCTCCCCCTTGTATGTTACTTCCAACCATTTGGGGTGCCCCCCATCCCCATGTGCCTGACGAAGGGGGGTCATTTTGTCTATGCAACTCGTAATACATTCCTTGCCCCTCAGCATACTTCAAGAGGTAATTGTTCCGATGTAGTTTTTCCTCCACGTACCTGTTCATCCCCTGAGGTGCTTCCCCTCTTCCCTTTGTTAATGCGTCCAGATCATCACACCGAGAGAGGGTTACCCCTTCCGCCTCATCCTGATAGGAAGGAGTTGCCCCCCCATCTCTAACATCACCAAACTTGTTTGATTTTCCGAAGAGGCACAAAAAGGAGTCATTGCCGATGGTTACATTGGTGTACTTGTGCGAAAGGTCGTTGTGGAGGAACTCGATAGGTATGCTGTGGTCCAGCTGTACTTGATATTTGGTGCTGACAAAGCATTGGCACACTAGCTGGGTGAGCGCCACTATAACGAGCACATGCGCAAGCGCAGGCACAGGCCGCATCTTCTCCTTTCTTTTTATTTCTGCAAACGAGTTCGTGTATTCTCATCATAATATGCTTCACGGTGCCTGACGCTGTGTGTACTTCGAGGGGGGGGTCCTTCCGTCGGGATTGGTTCGCCCGTCTCGCTGCCGCTTCTGGGTTGCCTACCGCATCCACAGGCTTACTGCTTATACGTCGCTGGTCACTGCGTAACGGGCGCGTGTTGCTACTTTTACCCGGCGCTGGCTGCTCACATCTCAACCGCTCCTTTCACCTCCTGGAGCGAGATGCCACAGGAGGAACATTCAGACTTTACAAAAAAAAAAGGAAACGCGAGGAACAAAGCAGGAACCGCACAAAGAACTTCTCCCTGTTGACGCCGCTTTGCGCATGCATATGCCGTTCGTTCATCTTTCTTTTCGCTTCTCGCCTCCGCGTTGTTTCTACTTTGCGTTCCCCCTTCGCTTTTGCTTCGCGTTGCATTTTGTAATTTTTTTTTGCCCCATTTTTTGCTTTTTTTTTTTTTTTCCGTCCTTCCTTTTACGCGTGCACCAATATGTAAAATTTCCACCCTGCACTTTTTGGCTCTTCTTTTCCCCTTGCCGCGCTCCACCGCTTTACAGAATGGGGAAACTTTTATTAGTGCATTTTATGGTTGCGTAGCTGACCGGGCCATATTCTTCGCTGCTTGGCCATATGAGCCATTTTTTTTTTTTTTTTCCGTTGAATAAATGTTAAGCAGCCCAAGGGGGGTTCCCCCCCTCCCCTTTCCACAAATATATATATTTGAATGTACGCATTGGTATTATAACACCCGTTTAAGCTTTTTTTATGTGGACTGGTTTAGAACTAGGGCGCCCTTTTGAGACGCCCGAAGCTGCCCTCCGGTTAATCATTACCAATGAGATGGAGGGTGAGAGAGGGAACACAAATGAAAGAGTGATGCTTCCCACCTAGGGGGAGAAAATTTAGTGTAGAGGTGTAGGTAGTCCCGATTAGCTGTGCCATGGGACGGTGTTCCTCCCCAAATGAGCATATTGATTTGGAAGGCAGTTTTGGGACATCCTGGCAAGGACGGTACACAAGCTTGGTCGAAAGTTGGGTGGTCTGTTCACTCGAGAGGAGCGATTGCTCAAAGAAGCTGCAGTGCCTATGCGAGTACGCGCCCAGACAGCAGTACATGCAAAGAGGCAAAAAAAAAAAAACCCTGAAACCACGAAACGTCGCGTAATTCATTAAAACCATGATGAACAAACCACTTGCAAGAATAAAGAACAGAAAAAAAAAAAAAAAAAAAATTGGAAATCTCGAAAATATGTGGCGAAAGGTATTTTCGGATTTCTGCACACGGATTGTTTTTTTTTTTTTTTTTTTTTTTTTTCTCCCTTTTTTGATTTTTGCTTTGCTTAAATTTTTCAGTTAGGAGATTAAATCTTGATTATATTTTACAAAAATGAAAAAAAAAAAAATATAATTGTAAAGTCTTCTAAACATTGTTTAAAAATGGAAAGAAAAATAATTTACATACGGATATAAGTAGATCGAGGGGCAGGCGCAAAGGTTAAGATGATTTACATATTTGACGTGTTCCATTTTTCCATTGCGCTATATCCCCATGCACGCATA